GAGCTGTGGTGAAAAGCATGACCAAGAGCCTACTTATTAGGTGTTTCCTGTGAGCCTGGCACCGTTCTAGCACCCTGCACTGTTAACTCAGTCAGCCTACCAGTGGGTGAGCTACTGTTACTCCCACTTTCTGGATGAAGGGTGTGCACAGAGGAGGTGGGCATCATGCTCTAGATAGCCCAGCGAAGGAGGAGCAAGCTGGGACATGAGCCCAGGTGATCAGGGAGAGCCTCGGTGAGCAGAGGACCCCTGAACTGGAGGGGATGCAGGAGCAGGCCGGGGGAGGGCAGGGAACAGCTCCCCAGGCTGCACGAACAGCCAGGGAGAAGGTCCAGTGGCCTGGCCCCAGGTCGGAGAGGGTGGCTGCAGTGGAGGGAGGGAACGAGGGAGAGCAATAGTAAGGGTGACCTTGGGCCTCTCACTCCACCCCTCACTTTCTACTTCTGCAAAAATGGGGGCCTCTGAAATCAAGGGCATGGAAATGCTTTGCCACCTGCAAAGTGCTGCCCAGCAGGGGCTAGGTAGGGCCAGGGTCTGGGGGCCTCAGCAGGGGGTCTCAAGGGCAGCTGGCCTGCGCTTGGGTCAGGGCTCCACGCCTCCCAGGGCCGACACTCTGCACATCACGGGGAAGGAAACTCTGGCCGCCACCCCAGGAGCTACCTGTGCTCCCCACTAGGCAGAGGCCACACCCCCTTTTAGAAACACACTGCGGGCCCAGGACCTGGAGCTCCTCAGTCCCATTTGCTCTTTAGGACCCGAGGTCGAGGGGGCACCGAGATTTTAAGTCAGACCCCTCAGACCCTAAAGCCTGTGGTTTCACCAGCGGACTGTCGTCCACCTGGGTCCGTTTCTACCTCAGGGCACTCAGCATGGGCCTGGGGTCCTGACGTCTGTCCTCAACAGCCTGAGGTTCACCACAGGTGCCTCCTTCTCCACTACGCGCCCCCTCCTAGGAACCGGTCTCCTTGTTCCAAAGGCTCTGCCTGGGCAAAGCCCCTCAGCCTCAGGCAGCCTGCAGAGAGGGAAGCGAACGGGTAGAGAGAAGCCCCTGCACAGAGCAGATAGGCTTCCTTTCTCCATCTTGGCTTGAAGCCATCGTGGCGAGGAAGGAGGTTCTATTCTTATCCCCATTTCGCAGAGAGGGTACTAAGGCCCCAGGGAAGGGATCAGCCCAGGCATCATGCGTCAGCAAGTCAGGGCCGGAGCCAGGCCTGTCCAGGTCCCAGCTGAGACAGGGGAAGCTCTTGAGATTGTTTACCCCAAATGCCGTCCCCCTGCTAAGAAAACAATGCCCTCTTCAGCCTGCGCCCCTCCTGCTTATCTCCGCAGGGTCTCAGGAAGGGCCTCTGGCTCCCTGAGCTCCTGCCCTTGAGAAAGGGGCTGGGGACAAGCAGGCCAGAGCCATCCGCTCTGGGGCCAAGTCCTGACTGGGCCAGCCACTCAGCGGGTAACCGCAGGCAATCACGGGCTGGGGAACCACAACATCCAAATTTTAGGTGTGCCCAATCAGGGGCCAGGCCTGAGGTTCAGCGTCGATTCACCCAGCCCATGATCTAGGAGCTGATTTCCTTCTCAGCCTATTGCTCTGCACCTGGAGAAAAACCCACCGGCGCTAACTCACCCCACCCGCAGCCTCCCACCCGCCTGCTGCACTCACTGATCGAGGGCAGGCCCAGGGCCCAGCGCCCAGCATCTGTAGGGCTTGAGCGCAAGGTCCTGCTTCTTAATTGCACATTTTTTGGGGGGTCATGTTCTAGCAATAGCAAGTGCGTGACCTTTCCTACACTTGATAAGATTGGGTGTCCAGTGGAGGTCAATTTCATGAATAGAAAGTAAACACAGTTGAGATGAAGACATGTTAAGAAAATACTGGTTTAGGGGCCATATGGCTGGAGGTGGAAGAGTCACACTGTGGAAGGTCGAAGACGGGAGTTCAGCCCTGGTTCTAAGCCGGGCACACAGGAAGCACTGCTTGAGTTTGTTGCCATCAAAGTTATGGTTTGTTTGTTCACTCAACATATATTTTCTTAAACTGCTGTTGGGCGCCTGCCACGGGCGCAAATGAGGCGCAGAAACTCACGCTTTCCTGGGGCTCCCATTTTCGTGGGGAGATGGATAATAAACCAGATGAATGAGTCATTATAAGGCCCTGTGGTGATGGGCAAGACAGAACAGGGATGAGAGAGTGTGAGGAAGTTAGGATTTTACAGGGCAGGTGGGGTGGGGGGCAGCAGGGCAGCCCTCCTTGGGGAGGTGACTGCTGAGCAGAACCAAAGGAGGTGAGGCAGCAGCCACTGGGGGGAGGGCGTTCCTAGGAAGAGTACACCAGGCTGAGAGCACAGTGTGTACAAAGGCCCTGAGGCAGAGCCACCTCTGGTGGGTTTGAGTGAGGAGGCTGATGTGGCTGGGGCTGATCAAGGGGGCAGAGTAAGATCAAGGAGGTGACAAGGGGACAGTTTAGGCAGGGCTCTGTGGTGAGGATACTGCTGCCGGCAGAGGAGGCTGTGACCTGATTCACGGGTCAGCACCCTCTTGTCTGGTTGGGGGGAAGGCAGGAGCCAGGGATCAGCGTGAAGCTGACTGACCACACTGGTCCAGGGCAGCAACGGGAGTCCAGGAGCCTGGGTCTGTAAAAAATGGCCAGGGGCGGCCCTCCCCCGGTAGACTGGCCCACACGAGTGAAGCAGGGGCGTCAGACAGAAGCTGAGTTGGGGAGGGTGGACCGGAGCCAGCGAAGGAACGTGAGGCTGGGGCCCCAGGGGAGAGCCGGGGAAGGAAGGGAGGGGGCCAGCGGAAGCGGACTTGGCTGTGGCCCCCTCCTCCCCCACCAGGAAACAGCCTCTGCGCCAACCCCTGACCCCTCGGGAGAACCTTTGCCAGGCCAGGGGGAAGGGCATTCCCGACAGCAGCAGGATGGCTCCCGCGAAGGGGGGTGGCGTGAAGAGGGATAACAGTTCTTGGCATTTGGGGGAACTGTGGCGAGGTCTGAGTCCCGGAGAGGAGGCCTGGTGGGGAAGAGTGGACGGAGCCTTGAAGTCAGGATCAAGAGATGGCTCTGTCCTGAGGGTCTGGGGGCGGGCCCTGGAGAGCAGGTGAGTAGGGGCTGCTCCTTAGAAAAACCCTCCTGGGAATGAATGTGTGGGCCTGAGTGTGGGCAGGGCAAACTCCCAGGACCCCCAGGGCTTTAGGGAGCAAAGACGACAGTCAGACAGACTGCAGCAGACGTCTGGGGCACAGGAGGGGGCCCCTCTGAACCTCAGCCTTCTCTTCTGTACAGTGAAGAGGCACGAGTCTCAGTCCCACCATCCAAAGACATTCAACAAGTAGGAGTCCATTGGGGGACTGAACCCGAAGGGGCCGAAGAAGAGTCCTTGGCAGCATCAGGGGGCCGGGGGGGGGGGGAGGAGCCAAGCCCGGGCGAGGTTCGTCCTTCTCACCGCTTCATTCCCACTTCCTTTCGGCCCCAGTGGCTGAGCAGGCTCCAGGCCCCGAGGACCAAGGGGTGGCCCCGACTCGTGGATCCGCAGACCTGTTGCAGCGAGACACCCACGGCGCGGGACGCAGCAAGGGCTGCAGTCAGGCGACCTCCATACACGCAGACCACAGTGGGCACCCTTGGCCTGCGCCCCACACTCGCCTCCCCACCCAGGCCCCGACACTCTCACAGTCCACACCCGCACCACACCATCCCTCACCCACAGATGCCAGGATGACAGCCCACAGAGACAGTAATGATGTCACGCAGACACGTGACATGACACACACTCCTGCCAAACCCTCGCCCAGTGTCACAGCCCTGCACACACAGACACAGCCCTGCACACACAGCCCTTTGCCCCTCCCCCCAGACTCCCGATTCTCTTATCTGCTGATGCTTCCTCACCCGCAGCCCTTCAGGCCTGGCGAAGCGAGAACAGGAAGACCTTCACCTCCATCCCCAGGAGAATTTCCAGACCCTCGTTGCACACCAGGGAGCATCTGGTCCAAAGGCAGATTAGCCCGCTAGCCCGTCATGGCCGCTGGCAAGGGCACGGCTTCTTCCCTCCCTCTCCCCCCACACCATGCCTGTGGTCCCTATAGAATGTTAGTGGCACTAAATAAATGTTATCAGTCCCTTCAAAGACTCCAGAGCCTTGGTTTATGCTTTGAAACGACACCACCCGGCCTTGAGCAAGAGAAAGCCTAGAAAGGAGATGAAAGCTGGAGGACCCCTGCCCACACCTGCCCCAGCGTCTTGGGGCCAGGAGACCCAGAACAACGATGGGGGACACCAGTGTCCCCCACAGTCTGGGCATCTGCATGTGGGAAGATGCAGCACCGTTGTCAGTTTTGTGTTTTTTTAAGACAGCAGATACTCACAAAGCAGATTCTCATGGAGCAGATTATCCTTTTGCAGCTTTTATTTTTCTAGATTTGCAAAGATTCCCCCAAGTCTTGACAACGTTTGTTGAGGTTACCACGGCCTGTCGTGAATTGCAGGAACTCCTCCTTGCCAAAATTATTCCAGGAACAATATCACAAAAGTCTCGGGCCATTTGTTTTGTTTTGTTGTTTGTGGCAAGATGGGATGTCAGAAAGTTCACCGGCCTACTTTGGGAGCGCTTCAACTCCATGACCAGGTAGCCGGGGAAAGCACATTAGAGGAGCACAGGAAACTCGCAGCGTACCCAGCAGACTGGAGAAAAAGGCTTCAAGTCCCTACCACCCACTGCTGGTAAAGGCGTAAAAAAAGGTGGGGCGGGGACATCTTCCTACAGGACTGGCGTAAGTGAAACTCTTGCCATAGCTCTTCTGGAAATTAGTTTGGCAATACATAATAAAGATAAAGATCTATCACCCTGGCTAGTGTGGCTCAGCTGGTTGGCATATAAGCCTGTAACCCAAGGGTTTCCTGTTCAATTCCCTATCAGGGCACATACCTAGGTGGTGGGTTTGATCCCCAGTCTAGGCCCATATGGGAGGCAACCCATCAACACTTCTCTCTCACATTGATATTTCTCTCTCTCTCTCTTCCTCTTTCTCTAAAAGTAATGAAAAATGTCCTCAGGTGGGGATTTAAAAAAAAAAAGTAAAAATGTACCAACCCTTTGACCCAGTCCCCCCATTCCTGGTGCCTTATCCCTGAAAAACAAAAACTCCAGGGGAAAAAAAAGCAAACGGCCACCAATGGAGTAAACAACCTAAAAATCGTCATCTAGAATCTCAGCTGGTACCCCTACCCCCACCCCAACTGACCTTGATTCCCTCCCAGTCCGTCCCAGTCCCCTGTCCCCTGGAACTCCGGGCAGGGAGGGGGATGAGTCATGAGGAGCTGGGGCTGGCAACTCACGCTTGGGGCAGGCAAGTCTGGAGGGACAAAGGAGCGATACTTCCTGGATGCGGAAGTGCGGGTGACAGACAGCTGCTGCAGGAAACGCTCGGCTGGGGCCCCGCCAAGTCAGGGCAGGGGGGTTAGCCAGGGCAGGCGCCCAGACAGACCAGTCTGGAGGCCCCAAGGAAGTGGGGACATCCCTGTGACCCTGAGCCTACTGCCTGGGCAGCCTGAAGTCCTGGCCTGCTGACACAAACCAGTCCCGGCAAACTTAAGACGCCAGAGTTTGGGTCTGGAGGCAGATATCTGGGATTCACATCTTGACTCAGTCCATCGCAGCCTCCATTTTCTCATCTGAGAAATGAGTGTGACGTAATCGTTCTGAACTCTCTGGACACATGGGCACAGGTCTCTTACTCTTGGCTGGTGTCTCCCATCCAGAGCATCCCAGAATGTCCTCCCTGCAACCAGCCCCCATCCGGTCCCCCAACACCCAGACCTCAGCCTCTGCGTCTGCTATAGTACCCGTGCTGGTCCAGAGGGACTTCCCATCGCAAGATCTGACCTCAGCCCTCTGCTCACATAGCTCCCTACTACCCTGGGCACTAAGTCCAGTTCCTCATCTCTGTGGTACCCCCCCCCCCTCGCCCCATTAACAATAAACCCAGCTCCGGCTGTTCTGGATGTTTATTTCTCTGACTAGAGTCACTGACTTTTTAAAATACTCACCCAAGGATAAGTTCATTGATTTTTTAATTTTTTTCATTTTACTTATTTATTTTTAGAGAGAGGGACAGAGAAGGAGAGAAACATCGATACACAAGAGGTACACTGACCGGTTACCTCTTGCACACTCCTAACTGGGGACCTGGGCCGCAACCCAGGTGTGTGGGTTCAATTCCCTGACCGGGAATTGAACTGGCAAGTTTTTGGTTCATGGGTTGGCATTTAATCTACTGAGCCACACCAGCCAGGGCTGATTTTTTAAAAAGACTGTATTTATTTACTTTTAGAGAGAGGAGAAGGGAGGGAGAAAGAGAGGGAGAAAAACATCACTGTATGGGAGATACATCCATCAGTTGCCTCTCGCACGCCCCAGCTGCAGACCTGGCCCACAACGCAGGCACATGCCGTGACTGGGAATCGAACAGGGTGACTTTTTGGTTCACAGGCCGGCACTCAATCCACCGAGACACACCAGCCAGGGCCAGACTGACTGTTAATTGTAACTTGTGCTATGCCCTCAGACTAGAATGCCTTTTCTTACCTGACAAATTCTTTTTCCTCCAAGGCCTGGCCCCAGAGATCCCACCTTCAGGCAGCCCTCCTGGATGTCCTAAGCATAGCCCTGACTGTCCTTGGGTCTGCCCAGCCCCATCCCGCCATCCCTCACGCCTTCTGGTCCTGATCCTGTAGCTCCGATTCACCCAGGCTTGGTGGCTCTCCAGGGAGAGGGCAGGGCCTGAGTACCAGTTAGGAGCAATTGGCAGACCCCCTCTGTGACCCTGTGGTCCAGCTGCCGGGTGACGTTCTGACTCTTCGGGGATTTCCTGTGACCTCTATAAATAACCCCCACGGCTGCTTCCCACAAATCACCTCGCCCTTCTTGGAAAAAAGGGACCGTAGCCAAGGACCTCGGTCCAGCCGTGTGCCAGCGCCTAGGGGAAGGCGGGCAGGGGGCCCAGGCATCCTGTCCCATGAGCATCTCCCTCCCCACCTGGATGCTGCTCGCCCCTCCTGGGAGCCCCGCAGAAGGCCCATGCCGTGACACATGGACACCCCCCGCCCAGACCCACATTATTGCTTTTCTCTCCGGGCATCAATTCTTTTCTGCAGAATGCACTCAGCTCCCTGAGTAACCCTTTCCATCCACGAGCCCTCCTTTGGGGGGCAATCCCAGCTGCTGAATAAGCAAAGGATCAACAAATAGCGACACACTGCAATGAAGTCTACAGAGACTTGGGGTCAGGGTGTGTCCCCTTTAGCTGGATGGTTGGAGCCTCCTGAAGACCCTCCCATAGGGCCCTGGACACCTCCCAGCCTCCAATCACATGTCCCCTGGAATCTAAGAGCTTGTATCATCAAGCACTGGAGGCTGATCCTGACTCTATTTGAGACTCAGTTTCCACCTCTGGAAAGGGGAATTGACTACTCATAAGCCATCAGGCGGGTGGGTATGGCAGCCTGGATTCTCACAACCTTAAGGGGCTGCAGCTCTGCACCCGCTTTGTTAGAGCAAGGCGCCCTCTGCTGGTTCATCCTCAACATAGCAGTCCCCCCATCTCAATCAAAGGCCTCACTGGAACTCACCTTCCTCTCTTCCCCTCACTCGCTCTGCTGCAGCCACACAGGTGACCTCACTGTTCCTTGAACACGTGGTGACGTTCTACCTCAGGACCTTTGCACATGCTGTGCCCGTTGCCTGAGACGCTCTCACAAGCTTCCTCCCTCTGGTTTCCTTTTCGCCATTCAGATGTCAGTGCCTAGGCCACCTCTGCTCTGCAGGGCATCCAGCCCACATGTCCCTAACCAGGTCATGTCCCCTCATTTTCAGTTCACACAGCAGACATCAGACCTCACTGGAGGAGCTTTGTCTCTAACAAGGAGAGCGGTAATGCCTGCATGTTTCTGCCCATGTTCCCAGCATCCTGCACTTGGCCTACTGCACAGAAGGTACACAGTGGACTCAAGTTCGAGTTGAAAGACCTATGTGCAAGGACCAAAGCTGGGGACCTCTGGTGACCAGCTACCACTCTGAGTGTGTTCCCTCACCTTTAGAACTGCCTGCCACGTTCCACCGGTATGAAGAACCAGTGAAATGATGTGTACCATTCTAGACTGTGGCAAGCGCTCGATAAATATTCACTAAGTTAGTAAATGAATGAATGAGTGCATCGGTGCAGACTAAGCTTGGAAAGGGAGTAGGGCCCCCAGGATTTTGTCAGTCACTTTTAAGATACAAGAGACAAAGTTTCAAGGCTAACACTACAAAAGGAACGACAGGTTGCAGAGCAATAAATAACTCAATGTATGTATAAAATACAAGATAAAACAGGTGCATCCCCAAGTATGCAAACAGAGAGAGTTCTAGAAGGACACAAGTTATGCTGCGACACCAGTGGCAGTGGGGGGCAGGAGGCGGAGGAGCTCCATATTTCAACATTTCTGGATCACCTGAATTTTTTTCCTTTGGTATTTAAAAAATAAAATAAAAACCATAAAACAGGGACTTCTGCCAAGATGGAGGTGTAGGTGGAAGCACTGTGCCTTCTCGCACAACCAAGTTTAAAAACAACAAGTTTTAGCAGCAAAAATGCAGCCAAACCACAGAAAATTGAACTATACGGAAGTCTGACAACAACAAATCCTTCAGCCAAACCAGTAAGAGGGGCAGAGCCAGCAGCAGAGCAGGGTCAGGCAGGAAAGATCCACCGGACCGACCCAGGCGAGCGACCCAGGTGCGCCAGCAGCTGTGGGTGGATCCCAGGTGTGGAGTAGTGGGCGGACCCACTGAGGGCGCAAGGCAGTGGACCCACTGAGGGCTGACCAGAGTCACACATTTGCACGCACATAAACCGGTGAAGGAGCGAGCAGTGAGACGGGCTTCGCAGGCCCCAGTGGTAGGAAGCGGCAGAGGGGACCACCACTGTCCCTCTCTAACCCCACCCCCACATACAGCATCACAAACCAGCGACCTGGGTAGCCCCGCCCTGGTGAACACCTAAGGCTCCGCTCCTCATACGTAACAGGCACAAACAGATCAAACCATGGCTCAAGAACAACTCAGAGCCCCAGAGCCGATAAATCTAAACAATGAAGAAATAGCCAAACTTTCAGATGCACAGTTCAAAACACTGGTGATCAGGATGCTCACAGAACTGGTTGATTTTAGTCACAAATTAGAGGAACATATGAAGGCTAAACTAATTGAAATGAAGGGAAATGCACAGGAAACCAATAGTAATGGGAAGGAAACTGGGACTCAAATCAAAGGAGTGGACCAGAAGGAGGAAAAAATTGACCAAACAGAAAAGGATGAAGAAACAAGAATTCAAAAAAAAGGAGGAGAGGCTTAGGAACCTTCAGAACATCTTTAAATGTTCCAACATCTGAATTATAGGGGTACCAGAAGGGGAAGAGGAACAGCCATGAGTGGAAACCTTATTTGAACAAATAATAAAGGAGAACTTCCCCAATCTGGCAAAGGCAATGGACTTCCAGGAAATCCAGGAAGCTCAGAGAGTCCCAAAGAAGTTGGACCCAAGAAGGAACACACCAAGGCACATCATCATTACATTAGCCAAGATTAAAATGAAGGAGAGAATCCTAGAAGCAGCAAGAGATAAGAGGACAGTCACCTACAAAGGAGTTCCCATAAGACTGTCAGCAGATTTCTCAAAAGAGACCTTACAGTCAAGAAGCACAGATAAAGTGCTTCTCAGATAAGATCAAATTCAAGGAGCTCATCATCACCAAGCCCTTATTATATGAAATGTTAAAGGGACTTACCTAAGAAAAAGAAGATAAAAAAGATGAACAGTGAAAGGACAGCAAACTCACCTACAACCAAGTTATTAACAACCACACCTAAAACAAAAGCAAGTTAAGAGGACAGCTAGATCAGGGGCAGAACCATAGAAATGAAGATCACATGGAGGGTTAGCAACAGGGGAGTGGGAGGAGGAGAAGGGGGGAGAAGGTACAGAAAATAAGCAGCATAGACGGTAGGTAGAAAATAGATGGGGGGAGGGCAAGAATAGTATGGGAAATATAGAATCTAAAGAACTTGAGACACGTGGTCATAAACTAAAGGGGGGAAATGGTGGAGAAGGGGGTGTGCAGTGTGGAGGGGAATGAAGGGGGGAATAGAACAACTGTAATGGCATAATCAATAAAATATATTTTAAAAAAACTATAAAACAAAGATCCCTGCGACCCTCGTACCCACTCCCTCAACCTTTCACGGCTGCTCCTCCAGCCTTAGGTGCCCAAAGCCTCACTCCAGGGCCTGAACCCCCAGCAAGTCCCTGTGAGGGAATATGGCCCAGCTAGAGCTGGGTCACCACCAGCAACAGGTAGCTCACTCACTGTTTTGCAGTCAAGTTCTTCCCTAGGAAATGAGAATCTCACTTGGCCTAAGATATTACCAGATGTCTCAAGACTTCTGGGCATCCGTCCACACTGGCCCCTCACTTGCCCACGCAGAAGTCCCGGAAGATGATGTCTAGGATCTCTTCAGTGCCCCCTCCACTGGTGAGGCAGGCCAGGTGCCCCCGGGCGATCCGCAGTGCCTCGGCCGCCAGGGCGACATCTTTAGCTTGCTTGTAGTGGCCAAGGGCTTCCAGGCAGCTCTGGAGGTGATGCTTGTGCCTCGCCCTCGTCAGAAGTGGTGGGCCTGTGGATGGATCCCCACACCTGCAAGAGACAGAGAACAGAGTCTCTTTTAACTTTGAAACTACCACTCAAAGTGGGGATGGTCAGCCCTGGCTGGTGTAGCTCAGTGGATTGAGCACGGGCCTGCAAACCAGACAATTGCAGTTCAATTCCCAGTCAGGGCACATGCCTGGGTTGCAGGCCGGTTCCCTGCAGGCCAGTTCCCAGCAGGGGATGCACGAAAGGCAACCATACATTGATGTTTCCCTCCCTCTGTCCTTCCCTTCCCCTCTAAAGATAAATAAATTAAATTAAAAAAAAAAAAAGTGGGGATGGTCATACCCATTCTGCAGATATAGAAACTGAGCCTGCAGGCAGGTACATGCCCAGAGCCCCGGCTAATAACCCACTTGAACTTGGGTGGAAGCTATGGGGTGGTGAGGGGTGGGAAGGCGGGGCTCACACTGCAGTCAGCTCCTTCCTCAGTGCCTCCAGGAGGCCGTCCAGCCCCTCCCCAGTCAGGCAGGACATAAGCAGGTGAGGGGACAGTTCAGGTCTAAGGCCTGGGTCCCCAGCAAGTAGCAGGTCCGACTTATTCAGCACCAGCAAGAGGCGCTGGCTGTTTCCATTATGGCTCTGAGCTATCGCGGGGGTGACAACCGTGTCCAGGAAGTTGCAGCTAGATGGAGAGGCCAGGTCAGAGGCGTCCAGCACGGCCAAAATGAGGTCAGCCTGCTCCAGCCTGGGGGAACAGAGAGAACCAACAGAAGAGTGACCCCAGAGCAGAGCCATCACAGACATTGGACAGGGCGGGGAGGAGGGCTAGGCGAGGAGCAGAGCATGAGGGGCAAGGCGGAACATGTGGGCAGAAGCAAAACTCTAAGGGCTGCCCTGTCCAAATCACAGAGTCCCCACTTAATTTTCTGATTCAGGGAAAAAAGAAAATAAATGGAACAGGAAGAGAAAGGGCCCCATTTCCCTCTCCCACCACTGTCTGCCCACCTCTCACGGGCACGCCGCACACCCTCCTGCTCCACGGGCCCCTGGCCCTCCCGCAACCCTGCTGTGTCACTCAGGAGCACTGGGAACCCGGCCAGGTCCACAGGGGTCTCTAGCACATCACGGGTGGTCCCTGGTTCCGGGGACACGATGGACACAGGTTTCCGGCCTGGGAAGGGGAAGAGGGTCAGAGGGCGGGGGAGGTCGGGGAAGGTGAGTGATCCCCTCTCCCAAGCTCCAGCCCCTGACTAGACAGACCTCTTTCATCTCCCCTGCCCCCTTCCCCACAACTGAACAGCTCAGGCCCCGCCCCCTGCCCCTGTCCCACGCACTGAGCAAGTTGACTAAGCTGCTCTTGCCCGCGTTGGGGGGTCCTGTGACCACCACGTGTGCCCCTAAGCGGAGCCTCTGCCCGCGCCTGGCATCATGAAGATGTGCGTTCAGTGCCACCTCCAGCCCCTGCACTTGGCTGTCAGCTGTGGATGGAGAAAAGCAGAAAGGAGGGAGTGAGGGGGCTTCTGGGGGCTGACACGCCAGGTATCCCCACACCTGACCCCCAGGTGGCCATACCTTGCTCCAAGACACTGTCCTCCAGGTTGTCATCCTCTCCGAAGTCGATATAGGCCTCCACATGGGCCAGAGCCTGAGGGAGAGGAGGGATGTGGTGCGGTCACCCAGGAACCCATCCCTAAGCCCTCCAATTTGCCCAGGTCCAGCCCAACCTAAGGGGCCAGATTGGAAGTTTATAGACCAGAAGTTCTCATGCAGAGGGTGGAGGTGGGGTCTCTGAGGCAGAAAATGGCAATTGGTGCAAATGGGGACTTGCCTTAGTGAGGGTCTCCGCCCAGCCACGGCAGAGGTCACCTAGCTCCCCGTCCAGCTGCCGCAGGGCCTGCCGTCGCTGCACCTCGGTTTCCGCATGGATCAGATCTGCCAGCCCCTCCACCTCAGTCAGGCTCAGCTTCCCGTGGGCAAAGGCCCGCCTGGTGAACTCACCCGCCTCCGCAGGCCGCAGCCCTGGCACCCTGCCTGTGGGATGGTCCTGGGTACTGAGACCCTGGCCCCCACCCAGGCCCACTGACAGGGTCAGACCTGGAACCCAAGGCTGCACTCACCCAGGGCCTGCAGGACGCCACTCACCACTGCTGGGCCTCCATGCACGTGGAACTCCGCACAGTCCTCACCCGTGAAACTTTGGGGACCTAATGTAGTGAGGGGGAAGGAGGGCACAACCCGGGCAAACGCCTGAAGGGAGTCAACTGAGTCAAGGGAGCTACAGGAGGAGGTTCGGGATCTGGAGATCCTCACCTGGAAACCAGAGCACTAAGGCGCGGTCCAGGGGCTCCCCAGAGCAGGGGTCGGTGAGCAGACGCAGGCAGGCCCTGCGAGCAGGAGGCAAGTCCCAGGGCACCGTTAAACTCCGGAGGGCGTGACCGCTGGCAGGGCCACTGGTCCGGATCACAGCGATGCCACAGCGACCTTGGCCAGAGCTCAGCGCAAAAATGGTAGCCCCGGATCCGGGAGCTGGGGCACCACTGCCCTGACGCGTGCACGGTCTGGGAAAGAGGAGAGAGTGCTTCTTGGAGGCTCTGCTTCAGAGTAGGCAGGTGGATCCAGTCTCTGCGGTTAGAGGATGGAGACTGGAAGGCCTCAGGCCAGAGGATGACCTGATTAAAGACTCCAAGGCCAAGTGACCTAGATGTGGGCTCTTCGGCTGAGGGATGAACAGATCCGGGCTTGGGAGAACTCGAAAGGTGGCTCTACCGCAGGCAACCGAGCCCCCAGGCCCCAGGGAGAGGCTTTGGGGCCAAAGCAGCTCCCCCCACACACACTGTCACACCCTTTATCCCGGTCATCTACCTGCAAGGCCCACGTGCCGCCCGGGCTACCAGGATCCAAAGCCCCCGCCACATGGATTCTCAGCCAGCGACCCGCCTGTCAGCCCAACCTAAAGGATTCTTTTCCCGACGGGGCCCCGCCCACTCCATGGCTTGTGTAAAGTCCTCAAGGGTTCTCTACTACCATTGGGGGCATTTAAAGACGTACTATCCACCCACTGAAGATCCTCGTTCCGATTGGCTGCTGCCGGGGAAAGTGGCCGGGGCTGCACGCAGAGGTGCAGCGAAATGGCGTTCCCCTTGGCAACACTAGACCACATTTTTAGGATCCTAGATACTGGAAATGAGCTGGGAGGAATGCAGGCACAAGGCTTACAGGAATTCCAGAGAGGCGAGAGTTAGAGTCCCATATTTTCTATCAGGCTACTCCATAGCCTTAGGTGAGGCAAGTGGCCCGGGGGATGAGTTCCGGGGAATCGACACAATGGCGCAGGGCAAATCTTGTCCAAACTTCTGGGAAGGTGCCTACTTGTTTTCCGGGAACTCTCCAGGTTTTCGCTCCTCCCCAGCTTTCCCTCCCGCTGTTCCTTCGCCCCGAATACCCAGCCTCACTTGACAAATTCATCCTCGGGGCCTAGCTTCAAGGTGGACTCCTGAAACCCCCAGCACAGCCCTCCCTCTCCCCTGGCCCAGCTCTGCGTGGCCCTACAAAGCTGTGTGTTGTCTGTCTCTGGAATCCCAAAAGCCAGAAACGGGAGTCTCGCGATTACTTTTAGGTTAACCCAGGAGAGCACAGGAGCGTGGCTGCAAAAAGAGCTGATGGTAGATTCCTGGCACTGGATGGGCGGGTCTCGGGGGAAACGCTCCCGCATGGCCAATTCTCTGGTTCTTGGACGGAGCGGGCGGGCAGCGCACCTGCATTTCGGGAAGAATCAATCGGACAAGCTCGAGTTCTCGTTATTCCCACGTCCAGTCCTACTCAATTTTTAAAATTGTAAAGGAGTGACGAACAATGAAATTCGCTGTCTCCGAGTTGCTCCATCTGTCACAAGTATACATCAAGCGCCCATTATGTGCATTCTGAGAATCGGACCGGGCGCCCGTCCTCCTTGGGCTGGAAGGGAGAAGGCAATTTAGGATGGGAAGGAGTATGGGCGCCGGACAAAATACAGCACCCACTTAAATGTGAATTTCAGATAAAAAATAAGTAACATTGTATCCCATGTAATATTTGGGACATACGAAAAACTTATTCATTTATTTGAAATTCACATTTGCAAAAAGTAATATAAACTGAGTCACATTAAACTAGAGTGGAAAACAGAAAGAAAAACAAACAAAACAAAGATAAATAAAAACTAAAACTAAGCCCTGGCTGGTGTGGCTCAGTGGTTTGAGTGCCAGCCTGCAAACCAAAGGGTCAGCAGTTCAATTCCCAGTCAGGGCACATGCCTGGGTTGCGGCCAGGTCCCCAGTAAGGGGCGTGTGAGAGGCAACCCCCAAATGATGTTTCTCTCTCTCCCTTCCCTTCTCTCTAAAAGTAAATAAATAAAATCTTTTTTAAAAAAAAACCCTAAAACTAAAACCAACAAGCAACAACCGAAAAAAATAAAATAAAATGGATGAGAAACCGCCATCCCAGAGAAACTGCCTGGCGTGTCTAATGCCTCCAACCTTTGGAATGTTAAAACAGGGCAAAACGACCTTTGGACAGGATCTAAGCAGACTTGTTTCCAAAGAACCGTCTGCAAAGACAAGAAGGATATTACGACTAGTAGTCTGCAATTTTAAAACGTGGTTTAGAGTTGGCATCACTGTTATGTCATCTGCGCCAACAGAAATGCCTTCCTGCCGCTGCCATCACGGCTCCCCTGTTGCCTTCGTCTCCTCTTCAGAACACGATCTGGGCTGCTTCTGCCCTAATCATTTTATCCCAAATAGCTGTTCTCATTGACCTCAAATAAATGCTCTTTCCTTCTCACTTTGAAAGGCCTGATTTTTTAGGTTAACACATCTAACTGGGAGGACTGTATTTCTATATGCTAAACGGGCAACTCTCTCCGGTGCTCTCTGAGGTTATATCCTGATGGGTGTTAGGATGCAGGGAGACTGTGAAGGGTGTTTGGGCAGGGTCCTAGGGCATGGGCTAAGGCTCTGAGACAGGACCTGCTGTAATTACTCACATTCCTGCTGTGGCAGTTGAAGTTATTGTTACCCGGAATCTCCCCAGACCAGGCCTCCCTCGCTCAACGTCTTGTTGCAGTCAAATCACGCCCATCTCAGATTCCAAAGAAGCCTTTTCAGATGGGGAAACGCAAGTGGAGAATCCGGAGCAGGCGGAGACGAGACCCAGAATCTGGAGCGGGCGGGGACAAGGAAGGCTGTACACCTTCAGTGCGGGCGGGAACGAGCACCAGAGAGTGAAGTGGGAGGGCGAGAAAGAAACCCAGAAAACAACTAGGGCGGAGTCGAGAACCCAAGAGCTACGAGCGCAGGGCCGAAGCCAGAGACTCAAGGTTCGGCACGGGCGGGGACTAGAAGCAACGCTTAGGCACAAGGGGACGGCGGCTGGCGCGGGCGGGCGCGGCCTTTGTTTCCTCCTCTGGCGCGCTCCACGGCCGCACCGGCCCCATGTGCCCGTGGCTCCCCGGCGCCCCAGCCGCCCGAAGCCCCTAATTTGCCCTACCCTGACCTCGTCATGGCCGAAGCTACCTCCGGCTCTGGGGGCACGTCCCTAGAGGGCGAGCGCGGCAAGAGGCCCCCACCAGAGGGCGAGCCTGCAGCCCCGGCGTCCGGAGTTCTGGGTAGGTGTGCGGCGGCTGGATCAGTCAGGGTTGCAGGTGACTGGGGTGTGCGTGGCAGCTGCACGGGGAGGGGAATTGGGGTCATCTGTCTCCGAGCTGCAGCCCCAGTCGAGGAGCCTGTCTCCTCCTGGCACTGCAGCTGCAGTCAGACGGGCGCGGCCAGAACGTTGCAGCGGGAGGGGGTCCCAGCGAGGAGACACGGACACGCCCCTCCAGACTCGAGACCGAGCCCCGTCACGCCTTGAGCTACCCGATCTCTGCTGGGCAGGGATGCGCTTGAGAGTTCCTCTCCCCAAAGAGTATAGAATCATACAGTTCTGGGGTCGAATCTCAGCTCTGCTGTTTGACCTTGGCCGTGTGACTTCAATACTTTGGACCTCGGTTTCCCCACCTGTGAAATGGGGGTAAGAACCACACCCAGCTGTGAAAACTCGCTGACATAACATGGTGAAGCACGCAGGGCTGCGAATGGAATGCCCTATCGATTGAGGTTTTGGAGGCGGAGCTGGGCCTCAAGAATAAGATTTGTAAGGCAGGGTCTGGGGGAATGGCATTCCTGGAGGGGGGCCTGCTGGTTCAAGGACTTGAAGGCCAGGAAATGAGCCAAGGCCAGAGCTCCAAGGGCCTTGAAAGCCAGGCTGAGTGCCCAGGAGCCCTGGCGAATGTGTCAGCTGGGGCAGGGGCTGGAAGCCAGGCTTCCGGTCCTGTAGTGGCCTGACCCGGGCCTGGCCGGCCTGCCCCCAGATAAGCTTTTTGGGAAGCGGCTCCTGCAAGCAGGTCGATACCTGGTGTCCCACAAGGCGTGGATGAAGACTGTGCCCACGGAGAACTGCGATGTGCTGATGACCTTCCCAGGTACCTGTGCCCACCTGCCCAGTGCCCAGACGGGGCTCCCCTGAGTGGGAGTCTGTAAGAGGCCTCGGACCCATCCTGGCGAGAGCCATCAGTCCCTGCGCCCCTTGGCAGATACGACGGATGACCACACACTGCTGTGGCTGCTGAACCACATCCGTGTGGGGATTCCTGAACTCATAGTGCAAGTCCGCCACCATCGCCACACGCGTGCCTACGCCTTCTTCGTCACCGCCACGTATGAGAGGTGAGTCCCTTTTCCTGGCCTCATTCTGACCCTGCCACCCAGCTCCCCGTTCCTCCAAGCACCAGCTACACTCTGTGTTTGACTCAGATGACCAGCAGGTGCACCGTCCCTAGCTCTAGATGGAGAGCCAGGGCTTTCCCATAATCCACCTTCCCTGCCCTCCCGCAGCCTACTCCGAGGGGCTGACGAACTGGGTCTGCGTAAAGCAGTGAAGGCCGAGTTTGGCGGGGGTACCCGCAGCTTCTCCTGCGAGGAGGACTTTATCTACGAGAATGTGGAGAGTGAGCTACACTTCTTCACCTCCCAGGTGCTCAGTCCCTGCCCCCAGCACACATCCCCGCACATGCCTAGCCCCTCCCTAGTCTGCAGGCGTTACTCGCTGTGCTCACGCCCTGTTTCCTGCAGGAGCGCCAGAGCATCATCCGCTTCTGGCTTCAGAACCTGCGTGCCAAACAGGGTGAGGCGCTGCATAACGTGCGTTTCTTGGAGGACCAGCCAATCAGTGAGTGAGGCGGGGCCAACCCTGCCTGTGTGGGGAGTTGGGTGGGTTTCATAGAGGAAAGCCTATCAGGGCAGGAGGGCGGGGCCTAGATACAACAATTGAGATAGTGAAGAATTGGGTGGAGCCTCGAGTCAAATTAAATCAAAGAGCTGGAGGCAAGGGGAGTTGGCCTTAGCAAAGGGTGCGCTTATCTAACCCCAAGAGGCAGTTCCGCAAGAACTTTTTCTGAGTCTCGGATAAGGAAAGGGCAGGACCATGGACAGCATTCTGGTGTATTTTGTGTGGTGCGGCCCTGGGCCTCAGTTTCCCCTCCTGGAAACCAGCCGCTGCAAGTTCAACTTCTGATGCCAACTTTGCACCATTCCTCAGATATTCAGAGCAGTGAACCGAGGCCAGTGGCTTTATTTAAGAACACGGTTGCCCACTGGGACCCTGCCCTTCTAGGTTTCCTGCACCCTTTCCCACCTGTGTCTGTGCCTACACCTCCCAAATTCTGAAGCACTGGGTATTCCACCCACCCAGAACTCCTCCCGAGAAGAGCCTCTGCAGGTTTAAAAGCAGGCAAAAAGCTGTGGCTTGGGTTTCAGCCAAGGAGATATGGCCAGGCCAGGAAGAGGCAGAGGGGCCAGGGTCACTCATTCTTCTCCCCCAACAGTCCCTGAGCTGGCAGCCCGTGGGATCATCCAGCAAGTGTTTCCAATCCACGAGCAGCGCATTCTGAACCGCCTCATGAAGTCATGGGTACAGGCTGTGTGTGAAAACCAGCCTCTAGGTGTGGCCTGGGCCAGGGGGTGTGCCGGGGTCCCAGGAGGAGGGCAGGGTTGACTGAGAAACCCTTCCCACCACCCACCCCTGCAGACGAGATCTGTGACTATTTTGGTGTGAAGATTGCCATGTACTTTGCCTGGTTGGGCTTCTACACGTCAGCGATGGTGTACCCAGCCGTCTTCGGCTCTGTCCTGTATACGTTCACAGAGACCGATCAGGTGCCGGACGTGGGCCAGGGTGGGCCGGGGCACCTTACTCACTCTCCCCCCGGGCTGGCCTGTACAACAGCTGAACCTTTCCTCTGCCACCCCCAGACAAGCCAGGATGTGTCCTGTGTGGTCTTCGCCCTGTTCAATGTGGTCTGGTCAACGCTGTTCTTGGAGGAGTGGAAGCGGAGGGGGGCAGAGCTGGCCTACAAGTGGGGGACGCTGGACTCTCCGGGGGAAGCCATGGAGGAGCCACGGCCCCAGTTCAGGGTTAGTCAGAGGCGGCCGAGTCCAAGGACTCCAAGAATGGGGATGGGAGGCAGGGAGCACTGGAGGAGCAGACGAGAGGCGTGAAACTCAGCTGTAGCATCAAAAAGGCCGTGCCAAGTGTGGAGGCCCTGCCTGCTCAGAGGCGGAGGGTGGGCAATTGGAATTGAGAGACGGGGAAGGGTGTACCAGGTGGGGGCGGCACTGGGGAAGAAAAGTCATGGGGAAATTGACTTCAGAAGATGAATGGGGGGGGCCCACGGGTAGCCCCTCTGCCTCAAGCTGGGCCTAGCCCCTGCCCTCCACCAGGGTGTGCGACGCATCAGCCCCGTGACACGGGCCGAGGAGTTCTACTATCCACCCTGGAAGCGGCTGCTCTTCCAGCTCTTTGTGAGTGTTCCCCTGTGTCTCACCTGCCTGGCCTGCGTGTTCCTGCTCATGCTCGGCTGCTTCCAGCTGCAGGTGATCTCTGGTCCCCAGCCCTGGCCCCCGCCCGGACCTGGTGACCACCTGCCCAGGTCCAGCCCGAGCTGAGCCCAGCAGCCAGGGTGACCTGCGAACCTCCTGCCTGTGCAGGAGCTGGTGCTGAGTGTGAAGGGGCTGCCTCGCCTTGCTCGGTTCCTGCCCAAGGTTGTGCTGGCCCTGCTGGTTAGCATAAGCGCTGAGGGCTACAAGAAGCTCGCCATTTGGCTCAACGACATGGGTATGCCCTTTGAAAGGAGGTCCCTGCTGCCCAGCCCCTGGGGGGGAGGTCCCTAATGCCCGCAGGAAATCCAGGCTGCCCCCCTCACTTGCCTGCTCGGCCCCCAGAGAATTACCGGCTGGAGAGTGCCTATGAGAAGCACCTCATCATCAAGGTGGTTCTGGTGAGTAGCAGCCAGCAGGTGGGCGCAGCAGGACTCCTGAAGACGGGGTGGCAGGGTGACCACCCGCCTGCTTCCCACAGTTCCAGTTTGTCAATTCCTACCTGAGCCTCTTCTACATTGGTTTCTACCTCAAGGACATGGAGCGCCTAAAAGAGGTGAGGCCATGGCCCAAGGCAGTGCCCCCACCTTCCCATGGTGGCCAGTGGGGATGGGGGGTGAGGGGACCGGGCCTGGCCCAAGGGGTCCACAGGCTTTCCAGCCCCTCCCCCCTCCTCCATCCTTTTCTCCTCTCTGTCCGTTCGTCCATCCACATGTCCTCTCTCTGTCTGTCATCCCCATCTGTCTGTCCACCTGTCCTCGGTCCCTTCGCAGCTCCTGCTCGTCCTGTCCCTGTCCCAGAGCCTCGAGCGGCAGCTGCGGGCGGTGCTGGCCCCGCTCGTGGCCCTGCGGTTCCACCTGCTCCTTCTCTCCCTCCGGGGCCTCCTGTGCCTGGCCCGGGCCAAAGTATGGGCAGATGGCGAGCCCAAGGGGCCTCGCTGGGGTGGGCAGTGTGGCTGTGTTGGGGGTCTCATGACAAGCTAAGGGTGCATGCTATGAGGGGATGGGGCTCCACTGGTGGGGAGCAGATGGCAGGGGCCCCCGAAGGCCCCGGGCACTGGCTGAGCTCCCAGGTGGCGCTGTAAGCAGGGTGGCCTCGAACCTCCAGCAAGGTTGGCTCGGAGTGCTGTGGCTGGTTGGGCTGTGGCTGGTGGCAGGTGAACAATGCTGGAAGCTGCAAAGGCTGGGGACTCTGTGTCCAGGGTCATTCATAAGGGTGGAATTAGGAACTGGGTTCAGAGAGTGTGTCTAGAAATGTGCTCTGGGAGGGCGGGGGCCCCATCCCACTAGCCTGTCCTGGTTCCCAAGGTCCTGCCTATTCCCCATGTGGCCCCTCTTGTCCCTCTTCCTGCCCCTAGATGCTGGCCACTCTGCTGATCACTCGCCAGTTTCTCCAGAATGTGCGTGAGGTCCTGCAGCCGCACCTGTACCGGCGGCTGGGCCGAGGCGAGCTCAGCCTTCGGGCTGCCTGGGAGCTGGCCCGGGCCCTGCTCGGCCTGCTCAGCCTTCGGCGTCCTGCACCCTACCATCTTGAACCCCAGGCTGAAGAGGGTGGTGGCAGTGGGGGCGGAGGGGGCCGCAGGTGTCTCAGCGGGGGCTGCGGGGCACCTGAGGAAGAGGAAGAGGCCACAGTGGAACAGCAACCCACGGGGGAAGGTGGGGAGGTGGGGAATGGGTTGAGAGGGGATAAGGAAGAGGAGGAAGATGATGAGGAGGAAGACGAGGAGGAGGAGGACGAGGAAGAGGGTGAGGAGGGCAGCCTCCTGGACTGCGGGCTCCGTCTAAAGAAGGTCAGCTTTGCTGAGCGGGCAGTTGGGAGACATCGGCCTGGCCCAAGCCCAGAGGCCCTCCTGGAGGAGGGGAGCCCCACAATGGTGGAGAAGGGGCTGGAGCCAGGCGTGTTCACACTAGTTGAGGAGGATGATGAGGCAGAGGGGGCTCCTGGTAGCCCTGAGCAGGAGCCCCCAGCTGTCGTGCTCCGCCGGGCTGGGGGCGAGGGCCGTGACCAGGGGCCAGATGGGGGCCCAGAGCCAGAGACCGGCTCAGGTGACTTGGCCCGGAGGCAGCGGCAGAACCGGTCCTCTTGGATCGACCCACCCGAGGAGGAGCACTCGCCCCAGCTCACCCAGGCTGAGCTCGAGAGCTGCATGAAGAAGTACGAGGTAAGGCAGGCACCTGAGGGTGGAGGCAGGGTCCGAGAAGGGCGGGTGCTCGCTGTGGTGGTGGAGGTGCTGGAAAATAACGGGGCCCTTTGGTGTAGTGAGGAGCCTGCCGAAGGGGAGGCTTGGAGTCCACCCGGGATTGCCTGTGGGAGGTGGGCTTGGCGGAGAAAGGTGGTCTAAGGGAGGAGGTGTCCTGGTCTAAGCAGGTGCCCGCCCGCAGGACACATTCCAGGACTACCAGGAGATGTTCGTGCAGTTTGGCTACGTCGTGCTCTTCTCGTCTGCCTTCCCCCTGGCTGCACTGTGCGCCCTGGTCAACAATCTCATTGAGATCCGCAGTGATGCCCTCAAGCTGTGCACCGGGCTGCAGCGGCCCTTTGGACAGCGGGTCGAGAGCATCGGCCAGTGGCAGGTGTGGGAGGGCCAGGGGCTCCAAACTGAGGTGCACAGGGAGACGGGGTGTACCAGGAAGGAAAGCAAGGCCTACAGAGGAGGGCTGACACCGACTGAGTTCCACCATGTCCCCCCGCTGCAGAAGGTGATGGAGGCCATGGGTGTCCTGGCAATTGTCGTCAACTGCTATCTCATCGGCCAGTGTGGACAGCTACAGCGCCTCTTCCCCTGGCTCAGCCCAGAGGCGGCCATCGTGTCCGTGGTGGTGCTTGAGGTGGGGCTGGTGGCCAGGCAAGGGAGCTGGGTGGTGGTGGGCTTCCCCGAGCCTTCAGCTTCCAACCTCCCCCTTTGTCACCTCAGCACTTCGCTCTGCTTCTCAAGTACCTCATCCATGTGGCCATCCCTGACATCCCAGGGTGGGTGGCTGAGGAGATGGCCAAGCTTGAGTACCAGCGCCGGGAGGCCTTCAAGGTACACGGGATGGGGCTGGGCTCTGTTTACCGGCTCCGCTCAGTGGGCCGTCTCTTCGTCTGGCTTGCAGCCATGGCCTTAGCAGGAGGGCAGGTGTGCAAAGCGTGGTATAATGTTTGGTGCTCCAAAAAGATCTGGTCCCTTCTGGAATCATGGGCGCACCCGGCACCAGGCTGGCACTCTGAACATTGCGTCACCACCAGCTTGTCCAGCGGCATCCCATTCAGGGTCAGGGACATAGCTGACGTCCCTGACCAGAAGCCCACCCTCTGCTGCGTCCCTCAGAAGGCTTCAAAGGGGGTCTGTGAGCTCTCTGGCACCAGTCCCCGGTGCTCGCCATGGTGATGGTGGTGTCCTGTGTCTGTGCTGCTCATGTGGCCCCATACAGCGGGGGCCACATGCAATTGCATTGGCATTGACAGAGCCGCATGCGGCAACTGGACTGGCCAGTGTGGACTCTGGTCTGTGCCAGGCCATGGCTCTGTCACTTGCCGCTTTTCCAGAAAGCAGAGGACCACTGAGGCCCACTATCTGTTCATACTCCCCCAGTTCGTAAAATGGTGCCTGGCACATGGCTTGAGACAGTTAGTGGCCAGTACATGTTCTTCTGTCAATTTTCAGAAAGTATTGGTGTGAGTCTAGGGATGTGTTTGGTGCCCAGTAAGTGTTTAGATCTCTCCTCACCTCCACAGAGCCCCATGGTGGGTCGAGAGATGGAGTGAGCCCCCAATAAGTGTTTGGATCTTCCCTGCTTCTCAGGATGTTCAAACACCCTCTCTTCCCAGTCCCCCTAACGGCCTGCTCCGCCCGCAGAGACACGAGCGCCAGGCCCAGCACCACTACCAGCAGCAGCAGCGGCGGCGGCGGGAGGAGGAGGAGCGCCAGCGCCACGCAGAGCACCACGCCCGGCGAGAGCGTGACGCCAGCGGCCGGGAGGAAGCCCGGGCTGAGGGTGCAGGGCTGGACCCTGCTGCCCCTGAGAAGGCCTCAGCCAAGGCCAAGGGCAGTGGGGTGGGCAGCCATGGTTCAGAGCGACCCAAGCGCCCAGGGTCCCTGCTGGCTCCCAACAACGTCATGAAGCTGAAGCAGATCATCCCGCTGCAGGGCAAGTTTTTGTCATCAGGGGCCACATCCTCCTCGATGGCAGGCACGGGGCCCAGCCCCACCACGAGGCCAACCCCTGCCCAGTCGCCCACAGGCAGTGATACCCGCCTGCCAGCCTTCCTCAGCTTCAAGTTCCTAAAGTCACCCGAGACCCGTCGGGATCCTGAGCGCAGCCACTCACCACCCAAGGCCTTCCACGCCGGCAAGCTCTTCCCCTTTGGTGGCGGGGCCCGGGCTGAGGCCGGGGCCAATGGGGCGGGCGGGCAGATCCGGCTGGACGGGACCCCTGGCGGTGGCAGTGGCAGTGGCGGTGGCAGTGGCAGCAGCGGCGGCCGGGCCCAGCGCAGTGGGCAGGTGGACGAGGCTGCGGCTGAGGAGCCAGACACCCTCCGGCCTGAAGAGGAAGGCTCAGGTCACAAGCTTTAACTCGGGGGTGGGGACTCTGGGCTGGGATATGGGTATATGGCCAGCTAGCCAGGTCTGTGGGGAGGGGCTGAAAGGGGATAGAGGAGGCTTGGTCACTGATACTGACTGGGGACCTGGATCCGTATTACCTGAAACCTCTCAAAGCCTGCTCAGTCTCTCTGGGACCCTCGTGTACCTGGAGCCCTGTGCCTGACCCTCCTCACCCCAGGGAGGGATGCCAAAGTCCCCCATCCCGTTGCCCTCCCAGGGCACCTGGCCCACCAAGCTCCAGGCCAGAAGTGAGGGAGGCCCCTTCACCACCCGGCCCAGCCTCCTTACCCCATGAGACTCCATACCCAGCTTACTCTGGGGGGACTGGACCCCCCCGCAACCCTCTATGCAAGTTCCCAAACTGAAGCCGTGTTTGACGAAGACTTCTGGAAGGGGGGCTGGGACTACCCAATCAGGGAGCTTGGCCAGCTTGGCCACAGGCTGCACCCACAGGCCTCACCCCTGGCCTCTCCCACCTAACTTGTACCACCCCCAGCCAGGGGTCCGGCAGCCCATTACCCGGGAGCTCAAGAGGTGGAAGTTGCAGGACCAGGGACTTAGGTCTGAAGTCAAGGGAGTTTTTCAGACTGGCCTCTCCCCAGAGGGGGAAAGGTACAGTGCTGCAGGCAGGGGGGCGGGGTGTACCCCAAAACTGATCAGAAGCAATAAGGCCCTGATGTGCCTAGAAGCTGGGGAGGGAGTGCAGGCAGGGTCCCCAGTCGGGTCTGGTGGCAGGGCGGCATCCTCCGGAACGGCCCCTCTCACCTCCGCAGGGACAGCGCTGGCCCTCTGCACCCGCGGCAGCCGGAGCCCCGCACCGTCAACACCAACGCCGCTGCCCGGGCCCCCGACACCGCCCGCCAGCTGCTGGCAGTGGGATGGGCCTTGGGGCTGTGGGGGTGAAGGCACTACCCCCCGCCAGGCCCCTGCCACCAACACAGAGTGCCCACCCTGTGCCCTGGCTGGGCCCCTGCCTGCCCCCCAGCCCCTGCCAGGGGACGCCAGCTTCTACAGCCTTGCGCCTCTGCCTCTGCCGCCATCCTCTGAGTTCCCCGAGGCCTCTCCCAGCCCCAGCCCCCAGGCTGTGTGCTGGCCCAGTGGCTGGCACTAGCTCTGCCATGTGCCCTGCCTTCTTGTTCTTACGCAGTAGCAGTCACCGACGGCGGCCACCACCCAGAAGACATGCTTTGGGTCCCAGGCCCCCATTATTGGTCTCCCCCTTCCTGGGGTGAGGGCCCAGCCCCATCTGCCGTTTTCCTTTTGGCTAGGATGGGGGGTATGAACCTCCCCCAAAAAACAACAGAAGACACACAGAACAGGCAGTTATTTATTTGTTTTTAATTTATTTTGTCATATTTTTGTAAAACGGCAGAAATGCAATAAAAAGAATATTTCAAACAGTGCCAGAGGACAGTAATGGAAACAGGGTTCGGGGGCCCGGCAACTTGAGGTTGACAGTGGCTCTTGGGGCCTGGTGAGCCTGCGGTGGGTGTCCTCCTTGCAGCCTTGGTGCCTCCTCCTAAGAACTGGGTCTGGAGGCCACACAGGAAACTCCAGACTGTACCACCTTGGGAACAGCCCAGATTTGGGGGCCGACTCCAGGCCCAAGGCCCCTGTGGGAGCTACTGAACCTCAAGCCTGCTGTGTCTTTAGCTTCCTAAACAAAGGAAGAAATCTCAAAGTACTGAAAGAACTCAGGAGTTTGGGTGCCACGCCTAAGCCCTGAGTTAGCTGCAGCCCTGCAGGGTGACAGGTGACACTGACCCTCTCAGCTGTGCTTCCTGGTGCACCCATCACCCAAACTGCCATCTGAGGAGCCAAGGGCAGTGGGGAGAACTTGGGGGATGAAAGTCAGAAGGCACCTTGCGCCCAAGTTGAAATGTTGAGGGGATGTTACATTTCAGAGATTCCTGGACACGGTGGAGTAGGGGTGGCTGGGACGCCCCACTGTGGGACGGCTCTCCAACCTGAGCAGCTGGGGTTTCCCCGTGTGATCAGGGGCAGATGGGCCCTCTCTCCACACTTCATCCACACCCAACGTCTTAGAGCCTGAACGGGCCCCACCCCAGGGCTCGGGGAGCCAATGTGAAGAAGGGGAACTGTGAAGGGCCCTGGAAGAGAAACGGGTTCGCTAGAGGCAGGAGGGCAGCCTGTGCAAAGGCACAGAGGTGTGGGAAGGCAGAGTTCGGTGTCTGGGGGGGCAGAGTAACGGGGGCCCTAAAGGCAGGAGTGGGCAGAGGCCAGCTGAGGGGCCTACGCCGGAGCGACCACAGAAATGTCTGGGTGGGGCATGGCCATGGGCCCCCGCCACAAACGGCACTGGCACGATGTGAAGGGGAGCCAGGGCCAGGGAGGCACGGGTGCAGGTGCCACCTGCTCCTGCTCTGCCCAGTGGCTTTGAAGCTGATGCCCCACCAGCTTCTCAGACAGTAACAATCAGCAATGCCATGTGCCGGCCCAGGGTCGGCCTGGCCTTTGGGAATGGGATTCCTAGTGGGTCAAAGAGCCTCCAGGGCCTTGGCCACGTCTGCATAACCACCGGCAAGCTTGCACTTCCTGAGCCCTGGCCTTGTGACCACAGGGACCCAACACAGAACCCATGGTATGGACACTGCCTAGAGCTGGGAAGCATAGCCCCTTGGCTTCACAACACAACTGGGTGGTCTGCCCTGGAATCTGCCACCCAGGGTGGTACTAGGCAGCCCAGACCCAAGCAGTCTGTCTCAGGAAGGACCCTCCATGAGGAAAACATGGAGCAGGCACCCCCTCCAGCTCTATGACCCAACCCCTCACCACCCCCAATACTGCAGTCCTCGTCCAGGGCTGGTGGGTGAAACCCACCCCAGGGCCTCAATCCCCAGCCCTGGGCCCAGTGCTCAGGGCCTCAAACCTTCTGCCTGGAGCCTGAAAGCCCCCTTCGCTCCGCTGCACTCCACGTGTCTTCTGCTGGAACCAGGGGCTGTCTCCACAGTGGCTGGTGGCGTGCTACCCTGCTTGTCAATGTCCTGGGTGTGAGGTCCACCACTACTCTGTCCTTGGTGGTATGGATGGTCTCTGGGGGGTGTCCTGATCATCAGGGACACTTGACAGGTGAAGCAGAAGGGTGAGTCCAGGCAGGGCATAGCTCTGAGCAAGACGGCTGCAGCAGGCCTGCAGGAGAGTTCAGCTGGTCCCAGGGACCCAGCTCACGGAGGCCCCTCTTGGCTCCTCTTGGTGATGATGAGACAATTCTCAGTGGCTTGGTCCTCTGGGGCCGAGGCACGTGGAGCAAAGACGCGAGAGCAAGTAGGAAAGATCCTTTTATTGGGGTGGACACGGAGCACGCACTAGTCCATGATAAAATGACTTAAGAGAAAGATCCAGAAGGGCTGACTTCTCCCTGTGGCGAGCTCTCAGAGAAGGGTCCGGGCATGGAATAGGTCCCGGTGGAAACAGAGTCAAGGCCGAGTCTTTAAGGCCAGACCAGAGGACGGAAGTGGGGAGAAGGGCCCCACCCCAGTCACCCAGCTGCAGCAGGGCTCATCTCTAGACACTCAGACAGACTCTTGTTTTCCAGAGGACTGGGGAGCAGGAGGAGGGGGTCTGGGGTGGGGTTGGACAGTGAGTAACAATGTTGTTTTTTAAGAAGCATCTACCAACATCACACTACTGGGTCTGACGTCCCCTTTAACCATCGCTCGGTACATTTTACAGCATAAATAAAGACTCAAGGAAAATAAATACATTGGCTCCTATGAGGTTGGAAGTGGTGTGCATGGCAGGGTGTGGGCGGGCGGGCGGGCGGGCAGGGTGCTTACACACGGCAGGCGGGTGAGGAGCAGACAAGACAGGAGGCACCTATCGGGGGGTGTGAGTCTTAAGTGTCCTCGTGCATGTCTGGGCTGTCGGTCCGTGCGACTTTGCGGGGGGGAGCTGAGCTCTCACCCTCAAGGTCCACTTGCTCCTGGTCTCTCTTCTTGGCAGCGTTCTGGGGGACAAAGGAAGAAGAGGGCCATTGAGACTTCACTTGGGTAACCTCCCCAAATCCTGCTGCAGGGGGTCACAGAGCTGGGTCTAGAGCAGCGAAGTAAACCCAAGGCCCCTGCTGAGCGGCCCCTCACACCACTGGACCTGCCCCACTAAAGCCACAGTCCTCAGGGGTTGTGGGCCTGTAATGAGCACTGCAGAGTCACTGTGGCTCACAAGGACCCATACATGGCCCAAAATGTCCCAAGGAGTGATGCGCCCTGCTGAAGGAAAAAGGGCCCTCGTGAGCCCTGGGGAAGCCCATGCATTGCTGCAGGAGAAGGTGGCCCTGGTTTTGGAGAAACCTCCCCTACTGGCGGGAATCAAGGCCTGTGGGGCTGAGAAGGGGCCAGTGTGGGCCAGGAGCTCAAGTTTTCTAAGTAGTCACTTCACAATGGGGTCCCTCTTCCATCCCACCCAGAGCAGGCTGCTGTCAGATGTTCAGTGTTAGGTGAAAAAACAAACTGATCTTGTTATGAAGCAGTATGTGGAGATCTTCAATAAAGAGAAAAACACCCTGCGTGTTAAAAAGGCAGCCTCTTCGGGGGAGGGTGGGGAAGATGACTTTCCTCAGCAGCCACACACGCAGGTACCACCTGGATTTTGACCGTGTGCATGTTTTGCCACTGAAGAAAGACTCCAGATAATCACACCAGCACCCAGCTGCCGCCAGGACTGCAAGCCACAGGAACTGGGGTTTGGAGGTGCTTGAGCCTTGGTACTGCTGGCCAAGCCCCTGCCCATCCGAGCATCAGAGCTCTGTGGCCTCTGCACTGCCATTTCCTCTTCTGGAACACTCTTCCCTCTCCTGGACTGCCTATCAAACTCCTAATCAGCCCTCAAGACTTCACTTGAACCCCTGGTCTCCCAGACCCATGTCCCTCCCCCACTCAGAGCCCCTGTGCTGGGTACCATGTTCCCCGACCCTCACCACCCAAATCCCTTGAGCCTCACCTTTTTGTCCCATTGCTGGTGTAGGTAGCGCAAAAGGATGTTCGTTTTTTCTGTCACAATGACTAAGGAAGAAAGGGGAAAAGCAGTTGTAGGAAAAGGCTGCAGGCAGACGGCTGCAGATGGTCCAGACTCCATCCTGGCCAGCACTGCCCTTCCCAGGATGGTGCTTATCCCTCCTTGGCCTCCAGAGCTGTCTCTGCCCTGAATGGCTTCTCTGGGACTCAGGTCTGTAGCCCGACCTGAAGTTTTCAGGAACCCAAGCGTTTTCCCTCCTGAGCCCACAGCCACTACCAGGGGCTCAAGCCAGCTGCTCTGGGGTCCCTGCTTCTCAGAAAGGTGGAGTCCACTACTGCATTCAGGTTTCCACACTGGGTCCCAGGAGGAGCTCCTGCCTGCAGGCTCATGCATGTGTTTCCCCAGGCCAACCAGAAGCGCAGATCTACACAACTGCACCCGGGACCACAGAAGCCAATCATCAGGGTCCCTGCGCATGCTCTTCCATGGTTAAAATAGAACACGTGGCCCTGGCTGGTGTGGCTTGGTGGACTGAGTGCCGGCCTGAGAATTAAAAGGTCTCCAATTCAATTCCCAGTCAGGGCACATGCCTGGGTTGTGGGCCAGGTCCCCAATAGGGGCATGTATGAGGCAATCACATACTGATGTTTCTCTCCCTCTTTCTCCCTCCCTTTCCCCTCTCTCTAAAAATAAAATAAAATCCTTAAAAAGAAAAAACATGATGGCCATGATAAACCACTTCCTGCTCTGCAGGCTCCAGGCCTTTCCCTGCAGGCCCCTCCATCTGGATACCCCCGCCCATGCTGTCCACCCGGGTTGGGCTGGGTCTCTGCCCCACAGTAATGTTTTGGGGTCTGTGTCGTGGAGCTGACAGGGGACATCTGTCAGGTGATGGAGAGAGGGTCAGTGAGTGATAGATGAGGGCCAGTTGGGGCCCCCAAGGGGCTGGATGTGGATGTCAGCATGTGGAGATGACAGTCGTGCAGAAAGCCATGCTTCCTGCTGCTCCCAAGGGCCAGGACTGACCAGCGTCCCACGAGTCACCTCCTATACTACCCTCCAACCTTTCCCCTCAGCAGCCTGCACAAGACAGTGACGGGCCACTTACTCTGTTCGGATGGGTACTCCCGCGTGGGCAGGTAGACTGAGGGGCGTCGATTCTGTGGGAGGGTCCGGAAGAGGTGGGTTAGAAGTATGGGGTGAGGAGGGTCCCTTTACCCCTTGATTTGAAACCCGCCCTCCAGTGCAGATCAGAAGATGCATAAAGATCTTAGGTGGAGATGGGCTTAAAGATGGGCCTCTGCTCCCAGCAAGATGATGATGGGGAAGTGCATATCACGCCCCCCCAACACACAGCTCCCTGATCCTGTACTCACCGAAGCTTTACACACAGAGTCAGCATGAAATCGACTAAAATTGCTTTTGTTGTAGACGGGCAGTCCTTTCAAAAAATCTGCCTAAAAGACAGGGAATATGGTAAGTGAGAAACCCTGCAAGGACCAGCCCTGGAGCACCTGCAGTGGGAGGTCAGGCTTCCAGGTGACTTCGTTTCCTTCTTTGTATTGTGTTGTAAGTTTCTGGGGATGCATGCTTCAGCTGGCCACCTGATGTGTACACTGTATGACCAGAGAAACGTAACCAAGCCCAAGGGAAGTGCATGTTCTACCTCAGGTCCTCACAACAGCCCTGTAACCTGGCAAGAGGTGGAGAAACTGAGGCTGAGAGAGTACAGGTCCTTTTTTTTTAAGTCACACCACAAGTAAGCAGTGGGGGTGGGGAGATAGACCAGGTCTGTCCAACTGCAGATCTGTCCTCTGTGTTTGTTAAATACTAAACTCCTGGTCTTACACTTCTGGTCAAGATGGAGGTAGAGGTAGACACTCTTCATCTCCTTGTGCAACCACAGGAAGAATTACACATAAACCTCAAAACAAATAACACCCAGAACTGTCAGAAAATCAAACTGTATAGAAGTCTGATAACCAAGGATTTAAATAAGCCACATTCATCCTTGGGTAGGAGGATGGGTAGGAGGGGCTGAGACATGGAGACAGGCAGAGAGGCACCGTGTGGCGCGGAGGGGTGGTGGTGGCAGAAGAGACATGGGCAGTTCCACATTCACCTGTGGCAGATAAAAATTGGTGAGGGGGATACCTTTGGAATCAGAGATCTCAGCCCCAGACCAGACCACACAGCCCAGGCTTCCAGCACCGGTAAGATAAATCCCTTCTGGCTATAAAAACCAGTGGGTATTGGGGTAGCAGAAGAAACTGCCATATTTTCAGGAAACTCTGCTTAAAGGACCCCCAGTCTTAAAACCTACATAAACCCACCCACTCTGGGATTCAACCCCAGGGCAACAGCTCTGCTAGAAGGGCACCAGTCACATATAGGAAGTGGGTGAAGTGACTAGAAACAGCGAGTGCCAGGCGAATGTCCAGAAGTCAGGCAGTGGCACAGTCCCCTCTGCAAGCCCTCCCCCCACAGAGAGTCACAATGGAGTAAAGAAGGCTGCCCCACCCTGGTGATTACCTAAGACTCCGCCCCACACAATTTACAGGTGCCTTCTCAACAGGCCAAGCTACTAAGACAGGGAATGAAAGCAGGTCTACCTAATACACAAAAACAAACACAGGGAGGCTGCCAAATTGAGGGGGCAATTAAGATCCAAATGAAAGAACAAAACAAAACCCCAGAAAAAGAACTAAATGAAATGGAGACATAGCCAGCTATCAGATGCAGAGTCCAAAACACTGGTGATCAGAATGCTCAAAGAAATCATTGAGTGTGGCAACAACATAAAGGAAGAAATGAAGACTACAGTAAGTGACATAAAGAAAAATCTACAGGGAACCAGCAGAGAAGGGAAGGAAGCTGGGACTCACATCAATGGTTTGGAACAAAAGGAAGAGATAAACATTCAACCAGAACAGAATGAAGAAACAAGATTTATAAAAAAAAAAAAAGTATCAGGTGTTTCTGGTACATTCCCAATTGTGCCAACAACTAAATCATAGGGATGCCAGAAGGAGAAGAGGAAGAAATTGAAAACTTATTTGAAAAGATAATGAAAGGCCCTGGCTGGTGTAGCTCAGTGGATTGAGCACGGGCCTGCGAACCAAAAGATCGCGGTTCAATTCCCTGTCAGGGCACACGCCGGGGCTGCAGGCCAGTTCCCAGCAGGTGATGCACCAGAAGCAACCATACACTAATATTTCTCTCCTTCCCTTCCCTTCTAAAAAGATAAATAAAAATTTAAAAAAATAATGAAAGAAACTTCCCTAATTTGGCAAAGGAATAGACACACAAGTCCAGGAAGCACAAAGAATCCCAAACAAGTTGGACCCAAAGAGGAACACACCAAGACACATCTTAATCAAAATGCCAAAGGTTAAAGATAAAAAAGAGAATCCTAAAGCAGCAAGAGAAAAGCAGAGACTTACCTGCAAAAGAGTTCCCATTAGACTATCAGCTGATTTCTCAAAAGAAACTTTGCAGCCTAGATGGGACTGGCAAGAAGTATTCAAAGTCCTCAAAGGCAAGGACCTAACAACCTAGATCACCCTATCCAGCAAAGCTATCATTTAGAATGGAAGGACAGATAAAGTGCAGACAAGGTAAAGCTAAAGGAGTTCATCATTGCCAAGCCCTTACTATATAGGAAATGTTAAAGGGACTTACATAAGAAAAAGATCAAAACTATGAACATTAAAAATGCAACAAATTGCCTGGCTGGTGTGGCTCAGTGAATTGAGTGCCCCGCTATGAACCAGAGGGTGTGGGTTTGATTCCCAGTCAGGGCACATGCCTGGGTTGTGTGTGACTAGGTCCCCATTAGGGAGCATGTGAGAGGCAACCACACATTGGTGGTTGCCTTTCTCCCTCCCTTTCCTTCTGTCTAAAGATAAATAATTAAAATCTTTTAAAAAGGCAACAAATTCACAACTATCAACAACTGAATCTTAAAAAATAAATAAAGTAAGCAAAAAACAAAACAAAACGAACAGAATCATAAGTATGGAGATCACATAGAAGGTTATCAGCAGGGAGGGGGACAGGGGAGAATGGAGGAAAAGATGCAGGGATTAAAAGCATAAATGGTAAGCACAAAATAGACAGGGGGATGTTAAGAATAGTGTATGAAATGGAAAAGCCAAAGAACTTCTATGCACAACCCATGGCCATGAACTAAGGCAGGAAGGACTGGTGGAGGGAAGAGGGGCACTGGGCAGACGGGGGCACAAAGGGAAAACTGGGACAACTATAATAATCAGTAAAATATACTTCAAATTAAAAAAAAGATTTTCTTTCTTTATTTTTAGAGGGGAAGGGAGAGAGAAAGAAAGGGAGAGAAACATCATTGTGTGGTTGCCTCTCATGCACTCCCAACTGGAGACCTGGCCTGCAACCCAGGCATGTGCCCTGACTGGGAATCAAATCAGCAATGTGCAGGGCACAGAGGGATGGATCCAAGGACTGCACAGCGAATGTAAAATGGGCCCGAGGAAAGGGTACCCTGAGATGCTGTGTCAGGCCGAAGACAGTGAGAAGGTCTGCCGGTTTGCGGAGGAGGGGAGGAGGGGTCAGGGAAGGTTGCAGAGCAGCAATGATACAAGAGCTGAGACCCGAAGCATGAGGCCAGCCTTTGGTTTTCAGGCTGGCACTCAATCCACTGAGCCAATCCAGCCTATGGTGTGGCTATAAAAGAAATAAAATTATTTTATTTAAAAAAATAAATAAAATTTATTTTTTTATCCCGGTCTTGTCTCCGTTTTTCCACCGTTAACAGGTATCCAGATGGAGAATGCCTTGTCCACCATAAAAAACCCCATGTGCCACTGTGGTAATAAATGGGAGTGATGACCTGAGTGAAGGGGGCAGGGTGGCTGAGACAAGAACTGGGTGCCCAGGGTTGACTGGCTCCCAAGCTCCATGAAAACCCAGAAATCCAACTTCAATGTTACAGCGTCAGGTTTTTAGGGCTAGCTGAACTTTTCATAAAGCACCGAGTGGACCAGGATCAGCTTAGGGGCTGATCCTGGGGTTCCCGCACCCCAAGGCTGCCCCGTGAAGGGGGTAAATGCCAGAGTCTGAGAGGGAGCGGGATGCTCCTCTCTGCCACCTTCTGCCTGGGGCAGCCCCAAAGGTTTCAGGCCCACAAAGTGCTGGGGAGCCAGCAAGAGGATTCTTTCACAGCCTGATTCTTGAAAAGTCCTTTATCCCTGACATTCTAGGGTCAGCTTAGTTGACGTTGGGCAAGCAAGGGGAGGGCTCTGAAGCAGAAGGACCCTGACTCTGGTGGGGAGAAGGGAAGAGGGATGAGTCTCAGCCACAAGATGGACAAATAAAGGCCAGTGGGAGCTGTGTCTACCTCAGGAAATTCAGGCCTAAAAGCATGGGGGTGAAGGGGAGGCATAAAGGCCAGGAGCCGTGGGCAGGGAGTGACTTCTCAGTACTGCGCCAGTGCAACACTCTCATCTTGCCTGGAATGGGACAGCCAAGGAGGGGTTTCCCACATGGCCCACTCTAGACCAGGGGCTTTCTGGTCTGGAATCACTCTGTCATAAGGATAAGGAAACTGAGGCAGGAAGGTCATGACACTCATCTGAGAGGATCCAACCCCAACAAGAAAATGAGGAAGACGATTTGAATCCAGGTTCGCCCTGAGGCCAAGCTCCTGTTATGTGACATTCCGGGGCTCAGTTTCCCTTTCTGAAATCCAAGGGCTCAGAGGCCCCAGAGGCCACGTTAACCATCCCTTAGGGCGCAGGGATCCATCTCCATGCCTGAACCTAGGTGCTACATTGTTGGGGAAGCCAATGTTCAGGTGATCTGCCACCACCCTCCGGGGCAGGCAAGAGCAGGTGTCCTCACTTCTGGGGGGAAACCCAGTGGGGAAATCAGTAGGACAAGCACCTTGCTCCCACTCAGGAGGTGGCTCTCTCATTTGGGTGACCTACTGTCCCAAAGCCAGCTCAAAGCCACTCACCCCTGCCTCTCCTGACCCAGAACCCCTGTTCCAGCTCAATCCAAGACTATAGGGCCAGCTTCATTCAGCCAGCCAGGCTTTCTGGGAACCCTTCTATGTGGCAGACCCAAGCCAGGCACCAGGGCATTGGAAGGGCACAGCAGACCTGCTCTTGACCCCAGGAGCACCCCATGCAGGGCACAGAGGGATGGATCAAAGGACTGCACAATGAATGTAAAATGGGCCTGAGGAAGGGTACCCTGAGATGCTGTGTCAGGCCGAAGACAGTGAGAAGGTCTGCCGGTTTACGGAGGAGGGGAGGAGGGGTCAGGGAAGGTTGCAGAGCAGCAATGTTACAAGAGCTGAGACCTGAAGCATGAGGACGGGGTCCTTGACTTGGCTCAAAGCCCTTCACAGCTCTGGCTGAGCTTGGTTCTCACTTGCCTCCTGCCACAGATACCTTTAGCCCATGCTGGGCCACCCTCCAGGAATGTTCCTCTTTTCTCCATGTGGGAGACACCTGCCAACCTCTCTGCCCAGCTCAACAACAGTCCCCTGCCCCTTCCTTCTCCACATACCTCAGGGGCCTCTGCCAGAGCTGCACTCATACCCTAAGGAAGCCATCTGTTTACATGCTCATCTCCCTTGCTGGACTGGCGCCTCCGTATGGGCAGAGGGCAAGGAAGGGCTGACTTCACCCTAACAGGGCTCACATGGGGCAAGCAGCAGAGTGTCGAAAGGGTCAGGAGCCTCAGACCTGCACTCAATCTGGGCTGGGCTCCTCCCTGGCTTCATGACCTCCCAGCCCTGCGTATTCTCCAGTGCACTAGGCAGGGGTCACAACAGGGCTCCTTGCAAGGCTTGTGCTGAGTCTCAGTAAGACACAGGGAAGGAGCTTCGCACAGAGCTCTCTGGAATAAAGCTGTTAACATCATTGCATTTGTGCTGAATAAATGTATAAAGACAGGATTCTGCCTGTACTCCCTTCCAGACAGGTAAGCAGGGAAACAAGTTCTCATACACAGAGAGAAGTCCTCACCTCAGCCAGACAAATCCTAGCCACAGCGGAGCCCAGACGCTGTCCACTGCCTCAGGAAACACTGAACATCCATGTGTCAGTCCCCCTCTGGACAGCCCACAGTGACCCAACCCATGCAAGGTGAAGTGGTGTGCTAAGAGAAGAGAGACACTGAGGCTGAAGTCACCAAGGGGCCCTTTGAGGAGGTGCTGCTCAAAGGAAAAGCATTCCAAACAAGAGCACCATGTGAAACGGCACGGGGGTGGCAGGGACCTGAAGGGTGAAGACGTGAAAACAAAGCCAGTGTGGCTGGAGCTCTGGGAGGGAGGAGTACAGAGACTGGAGCTGAGGTCATAGAGGTGGGCAGGGGCCTTGGGTGTTGGGACTTCATCTGGGTTACAATAGGAAGTTTCTGGAGCATTTTATAAGTTACAAAGTGCTATAATCTGGTTTCAGGCAAATTACAAACTGCTAGTGGGGCAGATGGAGGCAAGGAGACCAGGGAGAAGCCTGGTGCAGGCCTCCAGGCAGGAGATGGCGGAGCCTGGGCAGGGGTGGGGAGCCGTGGAAAGACTGAAGTCGTGTCCTGGAGGCAGTGCCAACAGAGCCCTCTTACAGACCGGGTGTGGGCAGGGAGCTTGTAGTGACGAATCCAGAATAGCACCCAAGCTGGGGTACCCTCATTCTAGGAACCCACTTTTCCATCTCCTTCCTGACTAGCAGTCTTCTTTCACTCATCCCAAGGACTATGATCTGTGGGTTGATACCCTGGGGTTTTAACTTGTCCAGACAAGTTTCCGTCACCCCGACAGTCCTCCAAATAGTGGCAGGTGGGAGGGGCGGGGCTTCAGCCCAACTCTGAGGCTGGGTCACCATTCCACTTTACAGGCTGGGGAACTGAACCCCAAAGAATCACCACACCCAAAACCTAGGATGAGTGAGTGGCCCAAAGGGGATTTTTAATTCCCAACTAGCAAGTGGCATTATCCCCACTTCAAGATTAGGAGACAGGGGAGAGGATGTCATAGGCTCGGTGTCACCCAGCTTATTTGTTTAGCTTCACTGTCTTAAACCCTTTACGACGTCAGTTCCCTAAGTTGTCACAACCCTACGAAGTCTGGATATGAAAAAGATGAAGTTGCTCCCTCTAAAGGGCAGGTCGGTGACCTAAATAGTGGGGTGGGGTTAAGGCTCTGGGGAATCCAGACAGTCTGCGATGTCGCACTTCCTTTGGCGACAAAGAACGCATGTCACGAAGTCAAGCCCCCCTCCCCCGCCCAGACGCCCAGACCGGCCTCACAAGCCCTCCCTAACAGGAGGCCTGGCCCGGCGCACGGAGAACGAGGCCAGAGTTGAGGGTCTCAGGAAACCCCCACCCTCATCGTAGGCGATTTCCAGAGGGGCCACGACCCGGAAATGAATGAAGTGTGAGGGCCTACACACCTAGGTGGGGTCAGGGGTCGGAGGAAAGAGGGCGGGGTCACTAGGATGCTTACAGCAGGGCCCAGGGGTCGAAGGTCATAGGTCAGGGAGATGGGCGGGGCCGGGCCCGTGGCGCGGGGCAGGGAAGTGGGGGGATTCGGGGATTACTGGAGGTGGGCGGACCGCGGCGCCATTTTGTCGCGCGAATGGGGAGCTCGGGCCTGACGGCCGCTCTTACCATCTTCTGCTTCCTCCGTCGCCGCCTCAGCTACCGCCTCAGCCACCACCGCCACCCCCACAGCCCCGTTCTTAGCAGCCGCCGCACTGGAACTTCCAGCCACGGCACAGCCTACCCTGATGGCGCCTTTGCCCTTCCGTCATTGGTCCGTCCTTTAGCCCCGCCCTAAAGTATGCGGTCTCTGCGTGCTCCCACTGGCCATTTACCCTAAGTCACGTTCCCATTGGTTGCCACGCCTCCTTCTTCGTGGTCAAGTTCGGTTGACAGAGCAAAACCCCGCCCGGGACTTGTTAAAGATAGGGCAGTAAAATCCGGAAGTGGGCGGAGGCCGCGCCGTGGAAGTTTCTTGGGATTTGTAGTCCGCATCTCCAGGCGTTCGGCTGATGTTTGTTATGCTTTTTTATATGATAGCTATTCGGGTTCCCACTGCTGTCCCAGAAGACGGGGGTCCACCGAACCAACCTTAGGTTCCTCCTTACCTAAACAGCTCCCGCACTAATTCTTTCAAAGTCTTTAAACTGACATATCAGACTCTCTTGTTCAAATACCTCCTGTGGTTCCCTAGTCCCCCAAAGATGCAGTGCCACTTCCTCGGCTCCAAAATTTGGGCCCCACCAGTCCCCCTCGTCCACTTTTTATCCTGACCCCTGTGCAATCCCTTCTTCCTTTGGGCCTCCTAAACCTTGCGATCTCCTCCGAGAATTTTTCTGAATGCATTTTTCCCAGAGCCAAGTCAGGAGCCTTCTCTAGGCTCCCATAGCCCAGTCTCCGCTGTGTTCTCATTGCCTTGCCAATCAAGCCCCTACTCCCCAATCCTCGAGTGACAGCCTGGTGAGGACAAAGATCCAGTAGGAGGAAGTAGAGAAGCTAAGTATTATTACCTCAACAGGCATACAGCAAAGAATTAACGCCTTATTGTATAGGAAACAAGTGAGCCTCAGAGGGCTAAGGTCTTGCTCAAGGTTATACATCAAATTACCAAGGCACAAGTGAAGCTTCAAATCTCTCCCACCTCCTCACAAGCCTTCCCAGACCTGTGAAAGTTACATATAAGACACGTGGAAATTTAGACATTTAATGATATTAAGGAATTACTGACTTTGTCTAGGTGTGAAAAGTCTTGTGATTATGTTTTAAAGGGCCCTTATCTTGGAAAGATGCGTTCTTAAACTTTTACAGAATAACTGGATGCCTGAGATTTGCTTCAAAAAAAAACCCAACAACACAGGAAGGGGCAGGGCTGGTTGTAATTGGTGGTCAGAAATGGGTGAGTACACGAGGTTCACTGTACTATTCCATGGACTGTTGCAGTATCTTGGAAATTCTTCCTATTTCAAAAGCATAAAAAGGGACTTGGCAAGGTCTGACTTCCCACTCGCCCTTCCAGTCCAACTCCAGACTTCTGGCCCCGGGCCAACCCCACAATTGGAGAAGCACTCGTGTCTAAGTCATCCAAACTCCCCCCCCCACACACACACACAAACAGCTGCAGGGAGGGAAGTGCTTTAATGGGGGTCGGGGCTCCCATCGGCAGCTTTGCGCTCAATGGCTCAGCGATTTGCGACCCTTGAGCATGCGGCGAAGGATGACCTGGACACCGGCTGGCGTGCTCAAGCGCTTGATCCACCCATGCTTGTGCTTGCGTTTGATGTTGCTCGGCTGGTACTCATTCCCGCGCGCCTTGCCCCGGCTTGGCTGCGTGCCGGGGAGTCCCCAGCCGTCAGGTAGTCTCAGCAAGGCCTGGGGCTGAAGCCACCTGCAGTGGTAGAGAGATAGCGAGAAAGGTCAGAGGGGTGGCTGAGTGACTTCGGTTATGCGCTCAATTTCTCCAAGCATGACCTTCCGGATTCGTGCCGGGACTGAGCCTGGCTGCAAAAGGCGATCAGTAAGTGTGTAAGGCACTAGCAAGTCGTGTGGGAGGCGAACAGCTGGGTCCAGCCCCCAATACCGTGCTAATTCCCCTAGGGACTCACCTGACACCCAGTATCGCCGCTGACCTACTGAAAGGACACAACAGGCGACTCAGGGATGTACCCAAGAGAGCCATGTCTAGCAGCTAAACACGCTGACACCCGCGCCAGCTATTCCGAAACTTACAGGTTCCGCAGCTGCGGAACGGAAACTTCTGGGAGTTGTAGTTCTACTTCTCGCGTGCCGAAGACGTGATCGGCAGTACCCACGGGGTAGTGTAGTTTCTCCTGTGGACCAGTAACGTAGAACGGCAGTTCTTCAGCATGCGCATGCGTACAAGCATTGTGTCACAAAGTCTGCTGGGAGTTGTAGTTCCTTCCACCGTCGCCTGGCAGTGGATGCCCCGGGGTGGCGGTGGCGCAGCTGGTGGCAGCTGCAGGAAATGGCTAGTTGACCCTCCTACCTCCATCGGGAGTCCGGCAGATGGCACACAGCTGCCTGGCAGCTTTCCTCTGGCAGAGAGCCCAGGAGGCCTGAGTTCGAATTGGCTGAATGTCCGCAGGATGATCCCTGCTCCTCTCCGGGATCCAGTTGCTCTCTATAAGCTTGCAATCTTGCCTTTGGCAGTGGCCCAATTAGGACTTTGAAGGATTTTTCAAATACTCAGATCTAAGCCCATTTCCTTCTCACACACCCATTGTCCTAGGGAAAATATCCAGCTCTTTGGTCAGGCTTGTGAAGCCACATATGCACCATGAATTTCGGCCACGCCCTCCTGTCTGGTACTCTCCTATTCACCGTTTTAAATCCCTTTTCTCGGATATTCTCTTCCTAAACGCTGCCCCTCTCTGGCCCAACGCTGCCCCCACATGGCTCTCCTCATATTCTCCTGGAAGATCCGGGGGCCTCTCAAAGACCTGTCTTGGGGCTGAGTACCTGCAGGCACTCCAGCATCTCCCCGCTTGGAGGGTGGGGAGTGTTCGCTGCAATAGTCTCCCTGGAGCACTCGAGTGGGCAGGAGTGGGTGGCTGGACCTAACAGCTCTGGTAGCAAATTTTAGGAGTTGGCAGTGGGCAAGGAATGGTTAAGCCCTTGTCCTCTGAAGCCCATCCTACCCACACCATCATTTAGCAAACCACTACAAGACTATACACCAGTACAATAGTGCCAATAAAGTATTGAGCTCTTACAGTGCTGTTTCGCCTGCAGAGAACTCGTGAGGGGATTAATTTCGTAGAGATAAATAAATGGCGTCTCAGGAAAGCAACTTGCCCAAGGTCTATAGCAGCAAAGGGCAGAGGCTGGATTTGAAATCTGGGCTTTCTGACTCCAGCTGGAACCACAGAGTCACCGGTTAAATTGGCCCATCTGGAGAACTCCAGTTCCCTAATTACCCATAGCTCTAAGACTTCTGTTTAAAGCTTTAACGAATAAATTTACAGGACTTGGAATCAAACAACCGTGGTTCCAAATTCCATCTCTGCCCACCCCCCACTCCACTTGCCTTGTGACCTTGCGCCCTTTATGAACATCAGTTTCCCCACCTGAAATTGAAAATATCTAGGAGTCTCTAAATGGAAAGGTCAGCAGAGAGAGAAGGGCACAGGGGCTTCATTTAGAGGGGACAGGGCGGTTCGGAGGCAGAAGGGATCCTATTCCCAAGGGGTATCTGGGTGCCGTCCCCTTGAGCTCAGCAAACTCCAACACGTGACCCTTTCTCGGCCTTGGGCCAAGCAGGCCCAATATCTCCTTCTACCTCTGTACGTCCCTGAAGTGGGCTAGACCGTTGCTCACAGAGCCCGCCCCCATCCCGAGATGACGCTTCTGACTGACAGTCTAACTAGGGCAGGTCAGTCTGCAGCTGCAATTGGTCGAGATCCCCGTCCGTCGGTACGCGGCTCCGCCCTCCGGGGAGAGACTTAAAGGGCCGGTTTGTTCAGCTGCTGTGGGATACCCTCTCGCTGACTATCTGTGGCCCGCGCGGTCCCGCGTAGACGCGCCGGGTCCGACCCCGCGCCACCATGTAAACGCCACCATGTAAACGACGCCCGCAGACGGACGCTGGCTTCCTTTTCTAGGACCCCTCCGCCCTGCCCCGGGCCCCGGGCCCTCGATGAGGTGAGCGGGCAGTGATCCCTGGGAAGGGGACATCGAGGCCTCCAGGGCTTCGACTTCGAAGGGGAGTGTCCACAAAGCCGGTGCTTGGGCTGTTTGGAAGTCGTGGGGCCCCAGTGGCCTTGACCCCGCCACAGCGCTGATGGGCACTTCAGAGGCAGGGGCCTGGCGCTAGGGAGGGGGGCTGGCGTGGCGCATCGGTGTTATCCTCTGCAATCTCGACTTGGGACCCTGCCGGAGGTGAGGGGTGAGGCCTGCTCTCCCTCTGTCAGCAAGTATAGGCTACCCAAGGCCTTGGGCGGCGTGTGTTATCCCTGGAGCGCAAAGGATGGGGAGAGGGAAGGGTTGGTCCCATCTCCAGGCCCTAAACAATGGGGGTGTGCTGCGCGGGTATCCCCCTTGAGTTATGTAACTGCCTGTGGTTGCCATGGACACGGGAGGGGTGGCCCACGGAGCAGGATGGAGACCTGGCGGCCCCCAGGCAGAGCACTGCCTTCTCCACCCTTATCTCCACCATTAGGGGTTGGGCAGACCCCCAGAATCCAGTGTTTTAGCCTCAGCTTGTCCGTCTGTGAAACAAATCCAGCGTCCCATGGCCTTGGAGAGATATGGACAAAGCCTCTGGAGCTCAGTCTCAAACTGTCTGCTAGGGCCTCACTTTTCATGAGCCAGGCTTAGAGACTTAGGATTGGAGCATTTTTATATGCTTTCAGAGGCTCGCAGAACATGCTGGTTTAGTGACAGTGAGTTAATCAAAGAGTGCATGTGTGAATGAATTAATGTATGAGTGAATGAATGAATGAAAGGGCTTAGGAAACCATGACTGCTATAAACCTGAGCTGGAGGCGGTCCTCAGGGCTGGGCCACATTTGCCACAATGTTCCCCGCTCCAGGAAGGCTCCCCTGATTACCCCACCTACCCTACGGAGGCCTCTTGGGGTGAGCCATAGCCAGGTCCTCTCTAGGGTGGCCAACCACCACTCAGGCACTGACCAGACAGAATATCTTGGTGCTTGGCTGGCTCTGGTCCTCCATAAACTGGCACCTAGAAGGTGCCTCTCAGGGTGACTCTTGATTCAGGTGTGGGGGATTGGGTGGTGTGGGCGGTAGAGGGCACCCAGCTTCAAGGGTCCAAGAGTTAGCTGTCTCCGCTATTCACAGGACACATCATGCTGACCGGGGTGACCGACGGGATCTTCTGCTGCCTGCTGGGTGCTCCACCCAATGCAGTGGGGCCACTGGAGAGCGTTGAGTCCAGCGATGGCTACACCTTCGTGGAGGTCAAGCCTGGCCGCGTGCTGCGGGTAAAGCACGCTGGGCCTGCTCCAGCCCCCACCCCACCTCCACCATTGCCTGAGGCAGCCCAGGGGGACCGGTCAGGCTTGGTCCGCTGCCAGCGCCGAATCACTGTGTACCGCAACGGGCGTTTACTAGTGGAGAACCTGGGCCGGGCACCACGAGCTGACCTCCTGCATGGGCAGAATGGTTCTGGGGAGCCGCCAGCCTCTCTAGAGGTGGAGCTGGCGGACCCAGCGGGGAGCGAAGGCCGCTCGGGCCCTGTCAGCACCGGGAGTGGCAGTGGCGGGCGACGGCGGCGAGCCCGGCGCCCCAAGCGGACCATCCACATTGACTGTGAGAAGCGCATCACCAGCTGCAAGGGCACACAGGCAGATGTGGTGCTCTTTTTCATCCATGGTGTTGGTGGCTCCCTGGCCATCTGGAAGGAGCAGCTGGACTTCTTTGTGCGTCTGGGCTATGAGGTGGTGGCACCGGATCTGGCCGGCCACGGGGCCAGCTCAGCGCCCCAAGTGGCTGCAGCCTATACCTTCTATGCGCTGGCAGAGGACATGCGCGCCATCTTCAAGCGCTATGCCAAGAAGCGAAATGTGCTCATTGGGCATTCCTACGGGTGAGCCAATGCTGGGGTGGGGGTAGGGATAAGTGGTGGGGGCGACAGAGACTGGACAACTTCCTCACAAAACTGATACCCCCCACTGAAAAATCGAAACTGATTTCCCCCATTGAAAAATCGCATTGACATCTGCAACAAGACAGGGATTTTCACCAGAACTGCTATCGTTTAACATTGTTTTAAAGCAGAATTTCTCACTATTGACATTTTTGGTCCAGTAATTCATCGGCTTTCATGTGCCCTGTAGGATGTTTAGAAGTATCCCTGACCTCTACCCACTAGATAACACTAGCAGAATGGTCTAGTGGTAACTGTGACAATTAAAAAAAAAAAAAAAAAAGTCTTTAGATGTTGCCAGTTTCCCTAGTGGGCAGAATTATTATTGGCTAACAACCACTGTTTTCAACTAAGTTCAAAAATTGCTTGCCCTGGAGATCCCAAGGGCTCCAAGGAAGGACTAATTGGAATCTCATGAATTCTATTTACAAGGCAGAGTTTGCTTTAATTCACTCTCCCTTAAAGAGGTGATATCATCTCTTTACAATATCACCTCACATTTACATGCAAGCCTTCTCTATGGAAGACTCTGGACTTGGGTGCCACCTGATCACCATTATTTGGTACCATTCCCTCCTTTACCCAGGAGGAAAGGCAGAACCCAAACAGCCAGCCAGGTTGAGAATCATTGTTTTAGTGGTTGTAGCCCATGCAATTAGATAAGAAAAAGTGTTACATAACCTTCCAAAAGAAAGGAAGCAAAGCTGGGAGGTAACTTATTATTTTTTTTATGTGATAACAACCCCCAAGGTAGATGCTTATGCTAAATGATTCCTCTAATTAAATAAGCACTCATCTGTGATAGTTCCTATGATCCATAACAATGCCATGTAGTCAGCATAGTTCCTCTTTCACTAGTGTGGAGATGGAAACTCAGAGAGGTTAAGTCGTTTACTGAAGGATACTCAGTGAGTCAGGTCCACCCAACCCCTGCCTGTCCCATTGTCCTTCTTCATGGCAGAGATTGGCCAACTTCTTAGAGGGCTAGACAGTAAATATTTTAGGTTTCTGAGTCATACGTCAGACTCTGTTGGAGTTTCACCACTCTAATGCCAGAGCAGGAAAGCAGCCATTATTGTAAAAAGGAGGATGGCTG